GGGCCGCGCGGGGCCGCCCCCAACCGGCGCTCGGGCTGCCTCCCCTACAGCCTCCGGACCTCCGGCCGCTCCCCGCCTTCCGCGCACGGCAGCACCCACACTTCCCCCGCCAGCGCGACGCTCCCAACCTTCCCTTGAACGCTGGGCCTTCCACCCCCTCCACAGTGCCCCGCCAGAATTTGGGGCTCCGGTCTGGGGCGGTGCCGAGGGCGGAGTTCCCGCCTCGGGGGCAGGACTCCCGTCGGTGCTGGGGCCCTGTGTGCCGCGTCACGAGAAGCCGGGCCGAGCCGGAGCGCACGGGCTTCGGGGCTCTACCCACTCTAGTCCCGAGTCGCCGGGGCGGAGCGCCCCCTCCTGCCCGCAGCCCGCCCCCCACTCCCGGGGCCCCAGACCCGGCCCCGCCCTGGCGGCTGCGCCCGCCTCGCCCGGACCCGGTTTGTCTGGTTCTCCTCGAGTGGCTTGTTTCTCGAATTTCCCCCTTTCCCCCTCTTCCCGGACCTCCGGGGCCTCCCTTTCAGCCCGGGGCCCCCGCGGGGGGCGTCTCGACACTTTTGCGCCCGCCGAGTTTCGGTAGGACCCGCCGAGGGCGCGGGGGAGGGGACGCGGGAGCGCCCGGGGCCTGGGCGGGAGCTGGGTGGGGGAAGGCGTGCAGCCCGCCCTCCGGACCCCTCCCGTCGCCTCGCTCGCCGCACGCCCAGAAGAACCACCGCTCTGCTTGGCGTACGCGGCTTTATTGGGGATGCGGGTACCCGGCCTTAGTCCTTCATCACTTACTCCCTCCTCCGAGCCCGCCCCAGCTCCTAAGAGCCCTAGCGCGGTCCCGGAGGGGGTTAAAACAACACCGACTACTGCTCCCGGACAGGAAGTAACTGGGGCGCGGGGGGGGGATGGGCGGGGCAGGCGAGCTCTGCGACCAGATGTGCAACTCCAACTCCAGATGTTCTTCATCTCCGTCCGACCCGTGGTCTGCGCTCCTCCTATGCCTCGCCCTGTGCCAGGCTGGGGAGTGGACGGAGGTCACCGGGAGGCAGTGAAGGTTGGCCCCCGACAAGGGAGGAGTCTTCGGTGGGGGCTTTGATAAAAGGGACCCCACTGAATTCTTTCCCCCACGTTAGCGGGCTCTGGGGGCGCTGAGGGGGTGCTGGGGTCACTCGCAGGCCAGCTTCCCATCGAAGCTGGAGAGGGCGATGGCGAAGGCCTGCAGGGCGCACAGCGGATACCGGTAGTCCAGGGTGAAGGCATCCTCAGCCACGCGGCCGAACTGCAGCACTATGTAGTCAGCTGTAGGCACAGACGGGTGGGGGTGGCCGAAACTTCCTGGGACCCCCGTTCTAGCAGGCAGTGCCCTCAATATTGAGAGAAGTCTCCCTCCCTTGCATTGGGACCCCAACCCTCAGCCATCATTCAGTTATTTACCCTCCACCCACCCCCCTCTGCACCTGTCTCCCCAGTCAGCCCCACCCGCAGCTTTACCTTCCTTCAGACTGTGAGCACGTGAGGGTAAGGACACTGCCTTTTCTGTGGGCCACTCAGGGCCATGCATACAGCATGTACGGAATCACATACAGGACCCTGTCAAACTTCCCCAAGCCCAGAACCCTTCTATTCCAACTTCTCTGTTGTCTTATGGCCTCATTCCTTCTTCCCATTCCCAGCCTCCAAGTCCTGCCTTAGACCCTCAAGGCTCAATCCTTTGACTAGCCCCCCTATTTCCCTTCCTCAGCCAGTGGCTCCACTCAGCCTCCATCTCATCTCTGGCCCATGTTCCGGGCCTCATCCTAACACCTCCCCCAGCATCTATAGGGACAGGAAGCTGCTAAAAATACCCCAACCTCTGCAGGCCAGGCTCCACCAGAAACGTGATCTGGAGAGCAGTTTTCCAAGGCCACAGGACAGGTGACAAGGGGGGGGGGGCAGCCCTAGGACAGAATGGGGGATGGGAACTTACTCAGTGTCAGCCCAACCCTGTGAAGCTGGAATCCCTTGGGAGATATCCTTCTATCTCCAAACTTCCTCACCCTGGTGGGAACGTCTCCCCCAGGCTTGTAACAGGGACATTTTTATTTGTGTTCCAGGTACATCTTGTTTCCCTAACTGCTAGAGGGCAGGCCTTTGACCTCACTTGAGAGAAGATATAGACACTCAGAAATGCTCAGTCAATATTCCCTACTCCTAAAAGGCAGCCATGCTGAAGAAGTTAAGAGCTTGGGCACTAGAGCCAAACTACCTGGATTCTAGTCCAACTCTACCTCTTACTAGCTTTGTGACCTTGGGCAAGTCACTTAACCTCTTTGTGCCTCAATCTTCTTATCTGTCAAATAGGCATAATAATAGTACCTTCCTCACAGGGTTGTTGTCATGATTAAATGATTCAACATCTGTGAAATCCTGAGAACAGTGCCTGGCATAGAAAGCACTGTGTGTTTTTGAAATAAATGGAGGCCAGTGTAACTGCCTGGAGGAGCAAGGGGCTGCCCTCTCTGAGCCCCAGCCTTCTTTGACCACAAAGGAGTTGAGTATTAGTGATTTTCTAACTAATAGCTCAATCCTTCCTTCAACACAGTCTTACCCAGAATACCCCAATATCTACTCCAAAGCTCTGGTCAATGCTGGGATGAGGGCCTGGAACTCAAACCCTGAAATCTGCTCAGAATATCTAAGGCTCCTGGAAGCACACTACCAATGACCCTGGAGGAGAAGGTGACCTTGCTGGATGTTCCAGCTCCAGGGATAAAAGACTATACCAGGTTTTGTGTGTGTGTGTATGTGTGTGTGTGTGTGTGTGTGAGAGAGAGAGAGGTGGTGGGGGAGGCCTGAGTGAGAGTCAGGGTCCTGGGGAGGGGTGAAGAGCCTGGTCTGGGCCCTCAGATACTCACGGTCATCAGCGTGAACAATCTGGAAGTTCTTGACCGAGGCCTGGGTGACTCGGCCTTGGAAGTTGAGGGTGTAGGAGCCACTATCCTCATTCCAGACAGGCGGTTTGTTGTGCAGCTCTATGAGGCTCTCCAGTGTCTTGTTCTGCCAGCGCACCAGCAGCCCATCGCTGGACTGGGGTGCCCAGGTGAGTGGGTAAAAAGAGGACAGTTAGGGGTGGCAAGATAGCTCAGGACCCACTGCGGGAAGGGCCTAAAGAGAGCATCCACGTGCTGGCGCCAGGGTCTGTGCCTGCCCTTTTGAGTATGTGGGCATACAGCCTGGACATCTGCATCTGCTCAGCGTGTCCTTGGGGGTGGGATGGACATCTGTGAAGATGGGCTTTATGGTCTGTGGGATGCCAAAGCAGAGGGAGAGGAAATGGAAGCTTGGCCCTGCCATATAAATGGCATCTGGCACACAGTAGGTGCTCCGTGCCATAAGTACTCAAGGGGCCATAGGAAATGGCTGAATGCTGGCACCTGATTACAGATGTTCTAGGACTACAGGGAGCTCACAGTCGAGCTTGGGGAGATGGACAGGTAAACAGTGGTTAAAATAAAGTGTTCTTGCAGGAGCTTCTGAAAGGAGGGAGCAGGGTCTGTGTGTTGGTATTTTTGAAATATTCTCTTGAGTTTCCTTGTCACCTGTTCACGTTCATGATTTGGAGTTGGTCTATTAAGATCACCTCCTCCAAGAAGCCTTCCTGACCTTAGATTTAGACGTCCCAGCTCTGAGCTTCCACAACATCTTGCTCCTACCCCCTGCATTGTAATGGACATAATAAGATGCTGTGAGGGCAGGAACAGTGTTTTATTAATGGTTCTGTGTCTGTTTTCCTCACAATGGGGTGTTGTGACGATTAGATAATAGTACACAAAGTGTTGTTTAGAGCACTTCCTGGCACAGAGCAGGGGCTCAGTAAATGTCATATTATTCTGATGTTGACTGTTGGGTTGATTGTGGCTCTCCAGTGCTTTGCACAGAGTACATGCTTAACAAATGACTATGTTGTTAGCTGCTGTCCACCCCACTCAGGGCTACCCCGTGCATAACAGAACGGACTATTCCTAAGATCCGTTGCAGATTGGACCATTGTGATCCATAGGGTTTTCAGTGGCTGATCTTTGAAAATAGATCGCCAGGCCTTTCTTCCTAGTCTGTCTTAGTCTGGAAGTTCCATGGAAACCAGGGCTTCAAACTGGTTCGTTTTGGTTCAACCCCCTGCTGAGAATTTGCCTTTCTACCCCAGATACACTGAATCAGAATCTACATTTAACAAGATCCCAATCTGGATCTTTATGACCAGTTCGAAGCCCTGGTTGAAACCTATTTACCATCATAGCAACATGCAAGCCTTTGCTGACAGATGGGTGGTGGCTGCACACGAGGTGCATTGGCTCCTGCATGGAAGATGAGAATTCTAGCATGGAACAACCACTGCCCTCATACTAACTGATTATAGAATGAATAAACTGTGAGGTGAAGAGGAGAGACCCAAAGTAGCACTGGGAAGTTCTTATCAAGCCCAAGAAAGGACGGCAGGCACTGCCTCTGGAGGATTTCTGCATTTACTCCAGACACGGGTGGGATGGACATCTGTGAAGATGAGGCTTTATGGTCTGTGGTATGCCAAAGCGGAGGGTGAGGAAATGAAAGGTTGGCCCTCCCATATAAATGGCATCTGGCTGGGGGAACTGTCCCTCAAGACCAGCACCTCCTACACTGGTGCCATAGGAGTCAGCCGGACCTCTGATTATGGTGTGACTTTCCAGCAGGGAAGGGTGTGTGATCTGCTAGCAGGGTATTTTTCATTGTAAATTAGTAAAGTGACATTGGTCTCCTGTGAGTATGGGACGTGCAAGTCATTCAGTCTGACATCCTGGCTCACCCGACCTGTAGTGCTGATGTCCTGCGGGAAGCCACCTCTGTCAGGGACATCTCTCCATTTTACACACATACACACACACACGAAACCAAACCCACTGATGCTGAGTCGATTCCAACTCATAGCAACTCTGTAGGACAGAGTAGAACTGCCCCATGGGGTTTCCAAGGCTGTAATCTTTACAGAAGCAGACTGCCACATCTTTCTCCTGCAGAGCAGCTGGTGGGTTTGAACTGCCCATCTTTCAGTTAGCGGTCAAGTTCTTTAACTGTGCCACCAGGGCTCTCCCCCATACACGCACACAAAACAAACAACCATTTGCTTTTGAAAACGTAAGTCAAATCATGTCACTCCCTTGCTTAAAACCCTGCTTCTTCTTGTAGTTGTTAGCTGCCATCAGGTCAGCCCCGATGCATGGTAACCCCATGCACAATGGAACAAAATGCTGCCTGGTCCTGTGCCGTACTCATGATGGGTTGTGGATCAGACCATTGTGATCCATAGGGTTTCCATTGCCTGATTTTCTGAAGTGGATCACCAGGCCTTTCTTTCTAGTTTGTCTTAGTCTGGAAGCTCTGCTGAAATCAGCATCATAGCTTCCCGTTTCTCTCAGAGAAAAAACCATGGTTATGAGGGCCTGATCTTCCCCTTTCCCTTGCCTTTCTGACCTTGTCTTGTTCCAACCACACTGGCCACCTCACTGTTCTTCAAGCCCACCAGGCACCCTCCTGCCTCACAGCCTTTGTACTGGCTGGTCCCTCTGCCTAGATGCTCTTTCCCCAGATATCTGCAGGCTCACTCTCTCACTTCCTTCAAGACTTTACTCAAGTCTCACCTCAGTGAGGCCCACTCTGACCACTGTGTTTAATATTGAGAAGTACACACACACTTCCCATCTCCCTTGTTTCTTTTTTTCCACAGCACTTATCACCTTCTAACATATTCCATAATTTACTTATTGGTCATAATTACTGTTTGCTGTCCGTCTCCCTCCACTAGAATGCCAGCTTCTTGAGGCAGAGATCTTATTTTGCCCGCTGGTGTCTTCCAGGTCCCTAGACTAGTACTTGGCACTCCATAATGGGTGTTGAATGAATACGTCAATGAATGACTTGATGTAAACTATGAAAAAACCCTGCTGTGGTTGTCTTAGTGAATTCCATTATAAAAAACCTGAATTCATTCAACAGGCTGCAGTAAGGATCCCTGGGAGAATGAATTGTGGGTGCGAGTGATGAGTGTGCTCAGAGGGGTTGGGCACTGAGTAAGCTAAGCCCTCACCCCTCAGCCCTCCTGGGGTGGGTCACACAGGAGCAGGACCCTCAGGGACAGGGAGCAGGGAGGTAGAGGGCTTACGTTTCGGGGCCGGATGGGGACCCTCTCGTTGTCTGAACTCATGCCCGGGATGATGATGGTCATGCGCCGGGGTCCGCGGAAGCCCAGCACATTGGTTTCCTGGGAGAGAGATGCCCGTTAGGCCAGCCCTTGCAAGGGGAGAGGCCTGGCATGGGGGATGGGGGAGTCCTCACATAGATCACGGCTGCCAGCTCCTGACGCAGCCTCCCCACGTCAGTGCTTCCTCCTCCACGGTGTGGGTTCTGCCCGTTGTCAAAGACGGTGAAGCGATTGCCCAGGAGATTAGACCTGCAACCAGGGCGGGGCTGAGGGGATTCCATATGCTGTCCCAAGACCCTTCCTCACAGCCAAGCAGTTCTGAGAACTTCCTAAGTCAAGGGTGGGGATGTCTTGGGACAGAGCAATCCATGTCCCCTGATATTTGGAAGTTCTTTTTAAAAGCTCTGGCTCTAGAAGGAGACTGGGCAGCGTTCAAATTCCAGTTCCATCTCTTACTAGCTGGGTGACCTTAGGCAAGCTACTTAGCCTCTCCGAGCCTCGGTTTCCCCATCTGTAAAATGGAGATAACGACAGTGTCTACCTCATTTGGTTGATACAAGGATTAAATGAGTTAATATTTAGAAGTTAGTTAGAACTCTATCTGATACATAGGTGGTTGTTACGTTCTATTGAGTCAATTTTTGACTCATAGAGATCCCATGTGACAGAGAAGTGCTCCCTAGAGTTTTCTAGGCTGTAATCTTTACAGAAGGAGCCCTGGTGGCACAGTGAGCAACGGGTTTGGTTTTTTTTTTTTAAATCTTTATGGGAGCAGATTGCCAGGTCTTTTACTCCTGCGGAGCCACTGGGTGGGTTCTAACCATCAACTTTTCTGTTAGCACGAGCACTTAACTGTTGCACCACCAGGGCTCCTTGGTACATAGGTAGACCTTATATAAGTGTTAAACATATAAATAAAATAAATAAGGCCTAACTCAGGGGTTGACCCACGCACACCTCTTGGATTTGTGGTGAGGACTACATGAGATAACAGATGCAGAGATATAGCATAGAGTAACCTGGATTTAATTCCGACTCACAGTGACCCTATAGGATGGAGTAGAACTGCCCCATAGGGTTTCCAAGGCTGTAATCTTTAAGATTGCCAAATCTTTCTCCCAGCTGGTGGGCTCCAACCGCCAACCTTTCAGTTAGCAGCTTAGTGCTTAACCACGGCACTATCAGGTCTCCTTAGCATAGAATAGGTGCTGAATATTTGTTCATTCATTCATTCACTCAGTAAATACTGAGTAGCTACTGTGTGCCAGGTGTTCAAGTACGAACCAAAACAGCCACCATCCCCACCCTCATGGTGCTTAAGCCTTGCTCCAGGTGAGGTCCCTGGATCAGCAGTGTCAGCATCACCTGGGTGCTTGGCAGAAATGCAGAACCTCAGGCCCACCCCAGACTCTGACTCATTTTAACAAGATCTCCAGGTGAGCTGTGCTCATCAGAGTGTGAGGAGCCCTGGGCTAAGGGACATTTCCCGAGTGTTCAACGTAGTGAGCACTGTGCCAGGTGCAGGGGGGCAGAGATGCCTGCCTGTGGCCCTCTTGCTGACCCTAGCTTCCCAGCCCTAGGAAGCCTAGCCTCACCTCAGCTTCCCAATGAAATTCTCCCCTCCTCGGGACAGATTGGTAGGGTCACTGGAAATGAGGTAATTGGCTGTTTTGCTCCGTTTGCGTTTCCTACCAGCCAAGAGGAACACCTGGGGAAGGAGAAACAGGTGAGAGGATGGGGAGAGAAGACAAGGTGGAAGAAGGAGGTGGGCTGAAGGGAAAGAGAAGGTCTATTTGCCCTGTAGCCCCTCCCTCCTCCTGGTCCTAGCCCGTCCCTTAGCCCAGGTCTTGGCACCTCCATTCTCCCTCCCTGTCACCTCGCCTCTATCCACCTTCTTCTCGGTGTCCAGGTGCAGAAAATAGGAGGGATACAGGCCCCGATCCATGCCCTTCTTGTCCCGGGTCAGCCGGCAGCGCACCGTCCGGCCTTGGGGGGCAGGCCGCAGCACGAACTCTCCAGGTTCACCCACCTCCACTGGCGGGGACGGGGCCCTCTCTTCCTTCTGAGTGGGGGAAGAGGGTGCATCAGCCCCAGAGCATCAGCCCTGCCCCCAGCTGGTCTGCAGTGCTGGGACCTGGGCAGAGCAGGCAAGACAACTCACCACCTTCTGTTGGGAGAGAGAGCAGAGAGGCTGGCTAGAGCGCTGGCCTGAGCCCCTTGAGTCCGGGCCACCTCGCCCCCTTACACTTTCCCAACAGCCAGCATGGTGAGGCCATGTTAGGAGGCTCTAGGAGCTTTGTGCTTTACTATTATTTTGTGTAGCTTGTGGCTGAGACCAGATTTTGGAGCCAGACAACCTGGGTTCAAATCCTAACTCTACCATTGACTGTCTGCCATGTTTGTAAAGTTTTAACCACACTGTGAGAAATAGGTAGGGGTGAGGGTGGACACCTGGGACAGACCTTACTTAACTGATATATGTTTAACGAATACTTTTATAAAGTCTACCAGGGGCCAGGCATAGTTCTAAGCATTTTGCAAATAGTTGTTCAGTCCTCATGTCAGCCCACTGTGGTAGTTGTTCCCATTTTACAGATGAAGAAACTGAGGCTCAGAGAGGGTAGGCAACTTGGCCAAGTTGAGATAGCTAGTAAGAGGAGGAGCTCGGATTTGAATCCTGCCCAGTCTCCAGTCAGATCCAGAGCCTTCGGAAAGACCTTCCGTCATGTAGATACTATCTCAGGGGGTTTACTGACGCTGAGGGCATAGTAAGCATTATAGAAGGGTTAGCTGCTACTGTTTTTGTTGTTGTGTTTGTTAGTTGCCGTCGAGTCGATTCCGACTCATGAAAACCCCATGAAAGATATAACTCGGAGCCTGGGTGGCACAAGTGGTTCACAATCACCTGCTAACCTAAAAATTGGCCATTCGAACCCACCCAGTGGCTCAACAGTAAAACGGCCTGCTTCCGTAAAGATTGTAGCCAAAGGAAAGAGGCCATGGATAAGTAAAGCATTATTGAAGAAGAACAAAGTAGGAGGACTCGTACTACCTGACCTCAGAACCTACTATACAGCTATGGTAGTCAAAACAGCCTAATACTTGTACAATGACAGATAGATTGACCAATGGAACAGAATCGAGAACCCAGATGTAAATCCATCCACCTATGGTCACCTGATCCTTGACAAAGGCCTAAAGTCCATTAAATGGGGGGAAAAGACAGTCTTTTAAATAAATGGTGCTGGCAAAACTGGATGTCCATCTGTAAAAAAATAAAAAAAGGACCCATACCTCACACTATACACAAAAACTAATTCAAAATGGATTGAAGACTGAAATATAAAACTCAAAACTATAAAGATCATGGAAGAAAAAATAGGGTCAACGCTAGAGGTCCTAATATATGGCATAAATATGATACAAACCATAACTAACAAAACACAAACACCACAAGATAGGCTAGATAACTGGGATCTTCTAAAAATCAAACACTTAGGCTCATCGAAAGAATTCACCAATAGAGTAAAAAGAGAACCTACAGACTGGGAAAAAATTTCTGGCTATGACATATCCAACAAAGGTCTAACCTCTAAAATCTATAGGAAAATCCAACACCTGAACAACAGAAAGACAAAAAATCCAATTAGAAAATAGGCAAAGTCTATGAACAGACACTTCACCAAAGAAGACATTCAGGTGGCTAATAGACACGTGGGGAAATGCTCGCGATCACCAGCCATTAGAGAAATGCAAATGAAGACTGCAGTGAGATACCATCTCACCCCGACATAACTGGCACTGATAAAAAAAACAGAACAGAAAATAACAAATGTTAGAGAGGCTGTGGGGAGACTGGAACTCTTATGCACTGCTGGTGGGAATGCAAAATGGTACAACCATTTTGGAAATCCATATAGTGCTTCCTTAAAAAGCTAGAAATAGAAATACCATAGTATCCAGCAATCCCACTCCTAGGAATATACCCTAGAGAAATAAGAGTCGTCACACGAATAGAGACATGCACACCCATGTTCATGGCAGATTATTCACCATAGCAAAAAGATGGAAACAACCTAAATGCCCATCAACGGATGGATAAAGAAATTAAGGTAGATACACACAATGGAATACTACACAATTATAAAGAACAATGACGAATCTTCGAAACATCTCACGACATGGATGAATCTGGAGGGCATAATGCTGAGTGAAATAAGTCAATCACAAAAGGACAAATACTGTATGAGACCACTATTATAAAAACTAGTGAAAAAGTACACACAGAAAGAAACAATCTTTGATGGTTACAAGGGAGGGGAGGGGTGGGGAGAGAAAAACACTAACTTGACAATAGATAAGTGGTAACTTTGGTAAAGGGTGAGACAGTATACAATACTAGGGAAGTCAGTACAACTTGACCAAGGCAAAGTCATAGAAGCTTCATAGACACATCCAAACTCCCTGAGAGACTGAGTTACTGGGCTGAAGGCTGGCGACCATGGTCGTGGGGGACTCCTAGCTTAATTGGCATAACATAGTTTATAAAGAAAATATTCTATATCCCACTTTGGCGAGTAATGTCTGGGGTCTTAAAAGCTTGTGAGCAGCCATCTAAGATACATCTACGGGTCCCATCCTGTCTGGAGCAAGGGAAAATGAAGAAAACCAAAGACATAAGGGAAAGAACAGTCCAAAGGACTAACGGATCACAACTACCACAGCCTTCACCAGACTAAGTCCAGCACAATTAGATGGTGGCCAGCTACCAGCACCAACTGCTCTGATGGGGATCACAATAGAGGGTCCCAGACAGAGCGGGAGAAAAATGTAGAACAAAATTCAAACTCACAAAAAAGGCCAGACTTACTGGTCTGACAGAGACTGGAGAAACCCCAAGAGTAAGGCTCCCAGACATCTTTTTAACTCAGTACTGAAGTCACTCCTGAAGTTCACCCTTCAGCCAAAGATTAGACAGGACCATAAAACCCATAGCTCAACCATGTATACGAGACTAAATGGGCACACCAGCCCAGGGGCAAGGATAAGAAGGTAGAAGGTGACGGGAAAGCTGGACGAATGGAAATGGGAACCTGAGTCAAGAAGGGGGGAGAGTTGACATGTCAAAGGGCTGGCAATCAATGTTGCAAGACAATATGTGTATTAATTGTTAATGAGAAACTTATTTGCTCTGCAAACTTTCACCTAAAGTACAATTAAAAAAAAAAAAAAAGATTACAGCTAAGAAAATTCTATAAAGCAGTTCTACTCTGTCACACATGGGTTCGCCATGAGTTGGAATCAATTTGATGAAAACGGGTTTGGTTTTGGTTTGCTCATTGAGAAGCGCCTAATAACAATTTGGTTGCTTAAGGCTGTTGGGTTGCCTGGCCTGGCCTGGGAACCTCCCAACTCCGCTTCTGTTCTCACAAACCTGATGCCTTCTGCTCTCATATCGTATTCCTCGCAAGAAGGAGAACCAAGATTCTAACTCCAACTTTCCCACAGAGGAGAGAATGAACTGCCAGCCTGCATATGTGCATTCGAGAATTAAACACTATTTGTGAGCCATCAGGAAGCCCTGATGTGTTGTGGTTGGTCATTTTTGCTGAGAGTAGGTCTGCTCTGTGTGTGAGGTGAGGGTGGTGTTGGGGAGCAGGCCCGTAGCCACTGTCCCACTGTGTCCGTTCTCCCCTCTAAGCTGCTCCAGAAGAAACTTGGGAAACACTAGACTATGTTTGGACTGTGATGTGGAGAAAGCAGAGCTTACTGAAACACTTCCACGACTGTAAACCTCAAGGACCTACTGTATGAAGGCTGCTCTGCAATTATATTCCTTCTGGGAGATAATAAACTGGCCTTTCAGTTTATATATCAGCACCTGGAGATCTTGGTTAATGTGCATCAGCCCACCAAGACCTGACTACTCCTGCACAAACTAATAAACCAACAAAGCTAAGACCTGAGCCCTGCTCTCGGGTGACATCTCCACTGGTGGAAAATTGTTTCTCAAAGACTTTTGTCATTTTCTCTCAATAGATGGATCCTTCTCTCCTACTTGTGCCTGAGCCCTGCTTGTGGGCAGGTACAATATTAAAAAAGATTTAACACCATGTTTTTTGCCCATGGAGAGTCACTGGTCAAAGTGGACACTGGGTGGCCTGGAGGAAGATATTGGAGGCCCTTGACAGCCTCCAGTTGGAAACTGTTAACAGCCCTGACAGTTAGCCCTTCAGTTGCTGGATTGTGAGAAGGTTTGGGAAGTGCTTGTGCCCTTGGTCCTCATATTCTATTCATCACATGATGGGGAGCCAAGATTCTAAACCCAAGTAACTCCAAAATCCCAGTCCAGAAGGTCCTAGAATCTAGTCGCCAAGTCCAGGCCCCTGCCACTGCTCCCTGAGGGGACTGAAGCTGAGGGCATGGTAAGCGCTGTGGAAGGGTTGGCTACTACTATCACTGTTGTTGTGTTAGTTGCCCTTGAGTCAATTCTGACTTATGGCAACCCCGTGAGTGCAGGTTCTTCACCTCTGGGTCCCAACCTTTTTGCCTTTTCCTTTTGCTTTGCCCTTCTGATTGCTGTTCTTGGTCACCACAGTTGTCTCCTCCTCCTCCTCATCTTCTTCCTCTTTCCTCTCCTCTTCTGGGCCTTTGGAAGTACCTGGACATGGGGGGCGGTGGGCAAGCCTATTGACCCCTTACCCTGGTGGAGCACTTCATGGTTTACAAAGAACTTTTAACACCCATGTGTCACTAGGACCCCTCCCACAACCCCGAGAGGGTCAAGCCTATATTATTATTATTATCAGAGCCGCAGAAAGGCTAAGACACCTGCCCACGGCCACACAGCTATTAAAATGGGGTCAAAATGCACCCAAATCTTTTGACTTTAGAATCCACACTCTTTACCCTGCACTGCACAACATAATGTGTAGGTCTCCCAGATCCCCACCCCAGGACTGCCTCATGATATCAGGGCACCAGAGGTCACCGCCACCCACCTTTCTTCTTCCAAGCCTTCTCGGCTGGGACACCTTCCCCAACCAGAAACATGGCTGCTGGGGTCTTCTTCCTCATTCTGGGTGGGCTCACCGAGGGGTCTTTTTCAGCCTCACCAGGCCCTGCATGTGTGGGTGGGAAAGGGTCACAATCCCCCACACCCAAAGTCCCCTGCTCCTCTGCAGACCAGGCTCACCTTTCTTCTTTGTCTTTCTCATCTTGGTCCCTTCCCCTGCTGGGGCCTCCTTCTTAATTCGAAGAGGTTTTTGTCGGGGGACAGGACTTCCCAGGTTCCCTGGAAATGGGTGGTGAATGTTAGACAAAGAAGGGACCTACTGGAGCTGAAGGCCACCTTCCACTCATCCTACCTCCAGTCCCCAGGGAGGCTGAAGGCCTTTGCTTGTCTAGGATCCTGAACACCACCCTGCTCCAGTCCAGGAAAGGGAAATACCAGGAGCTTAGCAAGCAATTGCTGAATGAATGGATGAATGAGTGAATGGATGGATTAATGAATGCCAGGCCTTCTAACTGAGCCTCCAAATCTCAGCTCTCACCCCATCTTCTTCTTCCCTCAGAGGCCGAAGGTTGCTCATACACGTTTAAGACAGATTGCTGCTACCTATAGGGCCAGGTACCCAGGCCACGCCATCACAGCATTTATCCATTGTTTTATTTTCACTGTTGTTGTTGTTAGGTGCTACTGAGTCAATTTTTGACTCATAGTGGTTCCATGTGACAGAGTAGAACTGCTCCATAGGGTTTTCCAGGCTGTTATCTTTATGGGAGCAGATCACCAGGTCTTTCTCCTGCAGAGCTAATGGGTGGGTTCCAACCACCAATCTTTTGGTTAGCACTGTAATGACTTTGATATTTTTATAGGAATTACAACAATAATTCACAGTGAGTTAAAAACAAAAAAAAGCTAAACAAAAATTGCAAAGAAAACTAAAATCCCCTGCTCTTGCCTGGCTCACAGAGCACCCTGGGCAAAGGGTGTAAGGAGTGAGGGAGTGCATATTGGTCTAGGTCCTTAAGGAGCATCCCAAACCCACCAAACCCACTGCCGTTGACTCGATTCCGACTTATAGAGACCCCATAGGGTTTCCAAGGCTGTAAATCTTTATGGAATCATACTGCCACATCTTTCTCCTGAGGAGCAGCTGGTGGGTTCAAATTGCTGATCTTTTAGTTAGCGGCTGAGCACTTTAACCACTGCACCACTAGGGCTCCTTAAGGACCATCCAAAAAACCAAACTAAACCTGTTGCCGTCGAGTCAATTCTGACTCATAGCGACCCTATAGGACAGAGTAGAACTGCCTCATAGGGTTTCCAAGGAGTGGCTGGTGGATTCGAACTGCCAACCTTTTGGTTAGCAGCTGAATGCTTAACCACTGTGTCACCAGGGTGAAGAAATCATCAGAGGAAGAAACCCCCTGGGCAAGGCACTGGGTAACTTTCTCGTGTCTCAATTCCTATGTCAATGAGACTCCAAGCCCCCTTTGGGCAGGGGCTGTTTTTAATGTTTCTGTGTGCTCCCTCTGACCCTCAAAACCCACCCGTTGGACCCTGGGCTTTGGCCCTCCTCTCCTTGGTGTCTGCAGAAGTTTTGCCTTTAGGGGGCTTCTTGGGAGGCAAAGGGATTTTCTCTTTCTTTTTCTTGTCCTCCTCTTCCTCGTCATCCTCATTGTCCTCTTCCTCATCGTCATCCTCTGTAGGGAGAAACTCCTCATAAAGGGGCTGGGGTGGGACCTCCTTGTCTGGGGAGCCCAGTCCCTGCAGATTGCTAGGAAGTGACAAATGGTGCCAGGGGTAGAAGCCCACACTTCAGAAACAGGAGGGAGAGAAGGGAGTCCTGGCACATTCCTTGAAGAATGGGGGTGACCCCAGAGTCCTCAGGTTACTCCTAGTCAGGAGAGTGAGCTCGAGTTGGGGGAATTCTGAGGCTTGGGAATCTGGTTCTGGAGAAAGGACCTTCTCTGCAGGTCCGTCCTTTCGCCCTCCCCTGTGCCTCCCTACTTTCTTCTCCTTGTCCACCCTTTTCACTACACTTGTAACTCCCTGTCCTTGTCTGTCTCTCTGTTTTGACAACCCACCTGGGCTACCTCTGGCTCCTATAAAAAACCTCTTGCCGGTGAGTCAAGAACTGCCCCACAGGGTTTCCAAGGAGGGGCTGGTGGAATTGAACTGTTGACCTTTTGGTTAGCAGCCATACTTCCTAACCACTGTGCCACCAGTGCTCCTCAGGCTCCCAGCTGTAGTTAGTCTAAGGCAAAACCCTTAACTACCCTCTCTGTGCCTCAGTTTCTCCTTTTGTAAAATGGGAAAACAACAACAACAAAAAAAACTCAGTAGGTTTTTGCCTGGCACGAAGACAAGGACAGAGAAGTGGAGGCTGTTTGCACTAGATTTCTCTGTCTATGGCTCCTGTTCAGCCCCCTCCCTCCTCTCCACCTCGCCCTCTCTTCCCCCGCCCACCTCAGGCCTTCTCTCACCATCCTTCCCGTCAGGAGCACGGGATACTAGGAATGTTTCCCGGGGGTCGCGCTTCTTGGCTTCAGGGTCCCTGAGGAACTTGGTGTAGAGGGTGTTAGGCACCCGGGCCTCGGCTGGGTCAGGGGTGGGCTCCTCACGTGGCCTCCCCCTCCACCCAGCTGAGCCGGGAAGCGAAGGTCAGGCAGGTGCCAGCCCCTCCCTGCTGCCTCCCCTCACCAAGGCTTCCCAAGCCTGGGGTGCCTCACCCCGGGGAACTCCCCTGGGTTCTCTTTCTGCCTTTGACATTCGCCCCTCGCCCCATCATTACCCCTCCACCACCACCCTGCCTCACATCTTTGGGAGTATCCCTGACTCAACCCGAGCCCTGCTCCGGAGCTCTCAGCCTCCACAGCTTCCACCCCTCCAGTCTGCCTTGTCCCCTCTTTCCCTGGGGTGGAATTCACGGCTCAGCAACACTCCTCGCCTGCCCTTAGACACCCCCTCCATGTCCTTCACCCTGAGGGACACCTCCCAGCTCAGCCCTCTGCGTGCCTCCAGGTCTCCGGAGCTTGGATCCCATGGGGCAGGGGGACTCTGGGGCCTCTGTCCTCTTCTTCCTCGGCTTCTGTCTCAGGGCGGGTCGCTGCGGAGAAGGGGATACAGGAGGAGGGAGAGGAAGGAAGGGAGGCTTGGAGGGCTGCCCATCACCTTCTAATCCCTTGAGCTGCCAGAAATAACCACAGATTATCCGGAGAGGAACTGCAGCCCCCTCTTCTGCCGAGTGAGAGAGGATGACCCCCCCATGCATCACAGCCGCCTCCAGGGCCCCAAAGCCCAAATTCCTCCCTCCACTCCCCATGTCCCCAAACACCCCTTTCCCTCAAAAAAGCTCAGACACCCTACTCCCAGATGCTGCTGAAGGGGACTCTCCCTACCCGCGTATTCCCCAACCGGTGTGGGTTTATGTGCAGTGGGGGGATCTTTCTGTCTACTTTGCAAGGAGGGGTGACGTACCTGCTTGGGGGGCCTGTGGACCTCCGGGCTCCGGCCTTCCTCCTCATGCCCACTGAGGGTGGCAAAAGAATCAGCCATTCTCCTTTCCCCTTCCCTGCCGCTCCCCATCTAGCCCCTGCATCTGTGCCCCTCAGGGTTCAAGTGGGGATAACATGGGGGGCTTTCAAACCTGTCTGAGGCCCACACCTCTCGGAGGGTGTCATCCTGCAGCGGCATGATGCACTCTCTTGATCTGCACCCCTTCTCTGGCCACCGTGAATCTCTAGGAGCCTCCCACCCTACCCCAGCTAATCCCAGCTCAACCCTCCCCCACCCTCCCCTGGCTCAAGGCTGTCTGTGAAGGCCTGGCAGCACTGTGGGAGGTGCTCCTGCCCTACCCCCCACCTGGCCTTCCCAGGCCCAGGGCACCCAAGGGAAGAGTTGACCCCCAAGGGAAGAGTTGACCCCCAAGTTCTTCTCAAACACCGAGCAGTCTCAGTGGTCAAGGGGGATGTGGGAAGGAAATATTAGATGGAATTCTGTATTTGTCTTTAATGAATTGACAGAAGCATGTATATACAATTAAAAATTATATATTTTATTCGGTTTTCGGTGAAGGTTTACACGGCAGTTTAGGTTCCTATGCAACAGTTTCTACACAAGTTGTTCAGTGACATTGGTTACATTCTTCACAATACATGAACATTCTCATTATTTCCATTCTGGTTGTTCCATTTCCATTAATCTCGTTTCCCTGCACCCTTACATTCTCATCTTTGTTTTAATGTAATTGTTGGCCATTTGGTGTCATATAAGTGATTTTTCAAAAGAGCCCAGTACTTACAGGTGGTATTCATTATTTTTTGAGCCAGTTTGTTATTTAGCTACAAGGTGACCTCAGAGTTAGTTTCAGTTCAAAGTCTGAAGGGTATCTCAGGCCAATAGTCTGGGGAGTCAGCATGTGTATACGATTTATAAAGAAATATCCCTATAGTGAGAGTGTGCATGCAAATATTTTTTACCGGTAGGGAAAATGATTTTTAAAAAGTTTGGAGACCATCATCTCTTCGGGAGCAAGGGAGAATGAAGAGAACAGGATACAACAAAAAGATTAGTCCAAAGGACTAATTGTCCACAGCTACCAAGACCTTCACCGGACTGAGTCCAGTACAGCTAGATGGTGCCCGGCTACCACCGCTGACT